TTACTTTCCTTCCTTATTCATTCTCTATTTTCTTGTTCTGTTTCTTCCCCTTTTATTCATGATCGATCTTTTGCATTGCCCCATGATATATTCTTTTTTTTTTCCTTTTTCCAGCAAAAAACATAAGATCCTTATGAATATGTTATTCATTTTTAAATCTAAAAAGGGGAGGTTAAGGGTCCGTTTAATTCGTTGATTCGAGTTAAGATGTGATTTTATGTGAGAATTTTTTACTGTTATAAAAATGTTAGATATGACTATTTTTTAAAGCCTTTTACTATAATAAAACTCAAATCGATAAAATGAATGAGCTTTAAAATTTTAGTTAATGTCGTCATGCAATGACGTTGCGGAAGAGGCAAAAAAAAAAAAAAGAAAAGAAAAACATTCAAGTGACGTGGCGAGTGACCCAAGGGAAAACAAAAATCTGCAAAACGAACGGCCAGGATTCGGCGTCGCAATATCCTTTGGGCCGTCCAAAACTCCCAACCAAGGCGACAGCATTGACCAGAGACAAAACTGGTTGTGGATCTGTACTCTCCGTTATCCAATTATCGCATACCAAAACAACACGATTCTCCACACCAATAATAATTTGACACACGTCGCATATTTATAGGTCTTTGTCGTCTTCCAGAAAAAGTTGACCATTCGATGCGATATTTGGTGGACAGCGAAGCACCAGATCATTTCACTCCTCAGCTAATAGTCGCCGGAGTAGACCTTGATTACTTGAAGACCAGAGAGTGACTATTCCCCCAATCCAACATTTTTACACGATCCCGATTTTCTCGTTCTCTCTCTCCAAACAGAAAACTGAAATTTCCCTCAGATTCTGTGTCCCTCTCTCTCTCTCTCAATTTCGCGCTCTTTCCTTCTCTTTCTCGCACTTTCTCAGAAGATTTCCTCAGGTGAGTGAAGAGTCAAAGCTCTTGAATTTGTTGGACTTTCGTCGAATTTCGGGAGCGTAGTTAGGGTTTTTGGCTTTTAGGGGGTTTCGTGAAATTGGGGCCGAGATTGTTAGTTCTTGTAGAGCTATGGCGTTAAAAAGCCGATTTTGTGTGTGTTAGTGATATTCGGGGTTAGGGTTTTGTTGTTCTCGTTTTCTTGTTGGTTTCAGCGTTAAATTTGGGTATTTTGTTTGTCTTGCAGATCTTGGAAATCTCGTGTTTAAGGAAGCTGGTATAAATGCAGACCAGGTTAATGGAGAGAACCAACTCCATGAGAGGCAAGAGGCCTCTTGAAGGCGAAGATGGCGATCAACCGGAGCGAAAGCGGCCCGCTCTCGCAAGGTACCTTTCTTCTCCCCGTTTATTGAGTTGAAAGTGTTAATTTGATGAATTTATTTCTGCATTTTGAGAGTTCCGCTGGAGAATTAATTCTATCAATTAGACTGGAAATTGGTGTGATATACTATGATCAGATGCTAAAATATTTTCAACGTTTTTCAATTTAGTTTTAGTGGTTCTTCTTCTGGTCAGTCGACGCTCACACCGGTAGCACAATAAAGGAGTTGGTTATTTGGGTTCCATTTAAGCAATGTTAATTGTTAGTAACATGTGAGTATTGCTTAGCTAGTCATAATATGTATACTATTCTTTGCTGGACCAGTTCTAGTTATGGGTGCTCTTTTGAAAGGAATAAAGTTTCCTCGGCTTATTGTCTCTTGGGTAGGTTGTTCCACATCCAAACTCACCCTATGATTTTTGCTCTGGTCGTTGTCATGTTTTCATTGTATTATCTGCATGAAGTCAATGCCTCCTTTCATATCAGTTTGTCATTGCTTGACAAGAATTTTTGGACGTTCTCGTTACTGTCAGGCATTTCTAATGTTCCCTTGCATGTCTATTTTGGTAACGTTGCTGATATCATTAGCAAGTATACGATGAAGGATTTGATTCCCGCAATTTAAAGCAATACAGTTCTGGCTTCCATTATTATTTACCACATTTTGGTTAATTCAGAAATCAGAATTGATTCTTCATCATCATGGGCATTTTCGCATTTTCTGAAGACCAAAAAAATCTGCAATAAAACTAAATATGCCTCTTTTTTAGGATCCATAATCTTTACTATTGGTTTTTCAGTGTGAACTATTGGTTTTTCAGGGGCGACTTGCCAATTCATTCAAAGTTCAGGGCTGCAACAGTGCCAAAAATGAAATTTGTAAAAATGCTTATATGCTAGAGTTTTCATTCCCAGTGGTTACTTTGAAGAATTCTTGTTCCTTGCTATGCAAAGCTTTATTATGCATCGGAATTTAGTTATATGGTTTATTCATATTTAGGCTAATTCTTTTTCACTAAAAGAATACATATGATTAATTAATCTAAAAAAAAGCACAATATGATTGTGTGTGTATATAATATGTATGTATGTATATATGATGGTAGCTGCACCATTCATATTCTGTATGATGGTGTCTGCACCATTCATATTCTGTATGATGGTGTCTGCACCATTCATAATCTGCAACACATGTTTCTGAAAGAAAGTTATTTTCTGTGGATTGTTATACAAAAGATTTTTCAGTTCTTGTGGGTGATTGTAACAATATTTCTTGTTTTCCTTTTTTTTTTTTTGTTTGTAACTATCTTAGTTCTTTGATTTCTGGACCATTAAACTGATAATATATGTCATGCAGTGTAATTGTAGAAGCTCTCAAGGTGGACAGTCTGCAGAAGCTCTGCTCATCTTTGGAACCTATCCTTCGTAGAGTTGTAAGACTTATGGCTTCTATGATTGCTCTTCCATTTAGCCGTTTGCCCCTTTTTTTTCTCTTTTTTTTCATGCTGTGATGGCCCCTAGGGTTTCCACTTACCTGTTTTATGCCTGCTACTAGATTTGTTTTGGTAACGAAACGGTCTTTATTGTTATTATAGACTTATAGTATTTGGCCACGGAGCTTGTAGTAAATTAAGTTTGCATCTTCGGGGAGATTTTCAAAATAATTTCATTCTGACTGATGAATGGAAGAAGCGATTAATCTTGCTAAACAGTTTAACAAGTGCTCTAGAATCTGGGTAAGATTCTTTATTTGGTCCCTAGAATAGGTTATTTACTGAATCTTCCAAACATCAAATTTTAGTTACTCTTTCTCACTGTCGCTTCATCTGTCTTTACATTTTCTGCGACCTGAGCTCATCAGATAATATCTTTGTACCCATTATAATGCTCAAGTCTTAACATAGTTGCTAATATACAAGACAACGATAGGAGTTTTATTATGAATAACCAATTTTCTTGACATACATTCATGCATGACAAGTAGTCAGCAGTTGGCAATTTTTTTGTTTATGCTTATTAATTATTGGCCTTTCATTTTACACCCGGTTTTTGCCCCCTATTAATGCTAAACAGGTCAGTGAGGAAGTTGAACGTGCTTTGGCGAAGTTGGGCCCTGCGATGCTTCCTGGAAGGTCTGAGTCCATTAAATAAGCAGTTCAATATCTTGTAAAGATAATGTGTGTGTGAGTTTGAAACAACATCTAGGGTTAGGGTTTGGGACTCTTCTAACTTTGAAGTTTTCAGGTCTTCTCCAAAACGAATCGAAGGTCCAGATGGTCGAAACTTGCAGCTCCACTTCAGGTCCAGGTTGTCTCTTCCGCTGTTCACGGGAGGAAAAGTAGAAGGCGAGCAGGGAGCTGCAGTTCATATCGTTTTGATTGATGGTAACACTGGACATCTTGTAACATCTGGACCTGAAGCCTCATCGAAACTAGATGTGGTAGTTCTTGAAGGTGATTTTAACACTGAAGATGATGAAGGTTGGACACCAGAAGATTTCGAAAGTCATGTAGTGAAGGAACGCGAAGGAAAAAGACCTCTTTTGACTGGGGACCTCCAGGTGACCCTCAAGGAAGGGGTAGGGACGTTGGGCGATCTAACATTTACAGATAACTCAAGCTGGATAAGAAGCAGGAAATTCAGGCTTGGATTAAAGGTTGCCTCAGGTTTTTGTGAGGGCATACGCATATGTGAAGCAAAGACAGAAGCTTTTACTGTAAAAGATCACAGAGGAGAACGTATGCTCTGTCATTTTTCTTCTCCTCATTCTTCTTCATCCACATATTATTTTTAACCTTTTTTGTGTTATTTGTTTTTCCCTTTTGACAGTATACAAGAAGCACTACCCGCCAGCATTGAATGACGAGGTATGGAGATTAGAGAAAATTGGTAAGGATGGGTCATTCCACAAGAGGCTGAATCAGGCAGGAATACTTATAGTTGAAGACTTCCTCCGGCTTGTCGTCCGAGATTCTCAAAAATTACGAAGTGTGAGTCTGGCAATTTCATTGTAAGCTAAAAGTTCATAGTTTGAACTCTGAAGCTGTATTATAATTTGTTGCTCTGCTGTTTATAGATACTTGGAAGTGGCATGTCAAATAAGATGTGGGATGCTCTATTAGAACATGCGAAGACGTGTGTCCTGAGTGGAAAGCTTTATGTTTATTATCCTGAGGAAACAAGGAATGTTGGAGTTGCCTTTAACAACATCTACGAGCTGAGTGGTCTTATCGCAGGGGAGCAGTATCATTCAGCTGATTCTCTTTCTGAAAGCCAGAAGGTGGGAATGAAGCTCTCTCTCTCTCTCTAATTATTGTTTCAAATTCTTTTTTTTAACTGTCAGTTCTATATTTGCCTAATTTTTTGCAACCTTGTTTCTTTACTTGGCTTAAGAAAAAATTTCCCTTAATCAAGCGGGAAATGTGTGTATAAATTACATTTTTGCGGTAATCAGATTTATGTATTATTATTATTATTATTGTCATCATCACTATCTGAGGATTATGAAAATGATAAACCTAAGAGAGTAAGAGTTAAGTTCCAAGGTAGATGCTGCTGGTAACTTTGAGGAACTCCAGTGACATTGCGACTCAATGTTCTTCCACGTATAAGAATATTGATGACTTCTTTGCCATGGTCTTTGATATTGATATTTTTAAATTTAACATTTCCAGTAAAAGAGAACAAAATTGATGAAGATTTTATTGATTTTTCAAAGAACTCTATGTTGACATTGTCTTGTAAATACTTCGGTTAAGAATGAACTTTATGGTTGTAAGTTCTCCTCCTGCAGATTTACGTGGATACATTAGTGAAGAAAGCATATGACAATTGGGACCAAGTTGTCGAATATGATGGCAAGTCACTTTTGAGTTTCAAGCAAAATAAAAGGCCAAATGCTTCCAGAAATGAACTTCAGATGGGCCCAAGCAATTACTCTAATCCTTCAGATAATCAACTGCAACTATCTCACCTACCGGTTCATCCTTCTGAGCAGACTTCTTTAAATACTGGCCTACCAATTGCAGGTATGATGACTAGCTGCATAAAACTAAGGGCCCGTTCGGTTCGCTAATTCGAGTTTTTAATTCGAGTTGAGATGTGATGTTGTGTGAGAGTTTTTTACTGTAGCAAAAAAGTTAGATGTGATTGTTTCTGAGAGTTTTTTACTGTAGCAAAACTCGAATTCTAAACTCGAATCAGCGAAATGAACGGGGCCTAATTTTCTTCAATTTGATTTATGTGTGGGTGATTCTCACTCTCTGTGCCTTGTGTCTCCTTCTCCTCATTCATTTATTTATTTCTCCTTTGGTATTGCGCTGCGGTAGGACTTGATCCTATATTACCACTGAAATTCATTTATAGCTGACTAAAGTTGTGTTATCTCAGCTAGTAAGGGTTTGGATCTCTAATTCTATGTTATGGAAGTGCTTGATTTGCTTAATAAATCTTTACAAATGAGGTGGAAGAAAATAAGATTGTACTTTATTCTTTGAAAGACCAACCGAAGATAGAGAGTAACTTTAAAAATAACTAAATTAAACCATTAGGAGCTGAAAGCCATGGATATCGGAAAGCCCATTAAACTTTTCTGTCGACTTGAAAACTAGTTAATAATTTTTGGTTGTTTGACCTTGGTCTTCAGAAGTATTTGGAGTAAGTGAACAAACTGCTGGGTGACTGTGAGCCAAGGTTTGAGTTCTTATATTACGTATATATATAATTTATGAGTAACCAGGGATTAAATTGTGTATATAATTTAGGAGCCTGTTATTTTCAGACCTTATTTGGAGCTGGGATCCATTTTTGTAGCGTAGCCGCTTTTAAGGATAACTCTTCCTCTTTTGGCTGTATATAACTCTTATCATTAATTCAAGGTTCTTGTTTTAAAAATTAAAAAATAATAAATAAAAATGCAGTCCACAAAAACTTGTGTGATTTAATTTAGATGTTTGAAATTACTTTTGTCCCATTCTATCATCTTTATATCATTTACAAAAACTGGTTGAATGGCTTGTGAACGTTTGTCTTTCTTTCCTTTTCCCTTGCTACTGGACTTATTGAAGTATAAGTATTTGTTTTTTTCTTTACCACACAATGATGGTGAAACATAGTTACCTTCTCATCCCTTTTACCTTGTGAATCCTTTTATTTTTATTCCCCTTCCCGACAAATTTATAAATAATACACTCAGGAGCACTCAAAATAGTAATTAATATAAGTTGCAGGAAAGCCCTGTTGGGCTCCGAATGTGGAGCTACGCAGGGGCTCTGCTTAGACCCAATGCTAGGTCCACACAGAGGGTGGGTTCACAACATTGGGGACAACCCGTGTCTATGCAGAATGCCTTAGCAGGATTCTAAGTTGCAGCATGAACAACCAAGCGAACAATTAATTGCTGCAATCATAATGTTTGTTGCAAAAATGTGTATCAATCGTGTCCTTACTTTGTGATTATTGTTATCTGTTTATTTATTGCTTTTTCAATGAAATTCTTGTCTCATATATTTGGAGGGAAAAAAAAAAGGCTTCATTAGCAATCTATACTGAAGTTTCCAAGTAAAAGTACTTTCAAGTAGTGATGAGCTGTTGACGTCAAACACTAGAGTAATTTGTAGGAACTTTTCCTTTCAGGCATTCTTCATGTTTCTTCTACCCTGGCCTTTATTTCTAATTGCTTATATACGACATGTAATTGGCTGCTCACCTCTTGGCTTGGAATGGTTAATAACATGCTCTACTCTTTATTTTTTATTTTTATTTTTCCTTTCTTAACAACACAAGGCTTCTACCCCTGCCCTGTCGACCCAAAACTAAAATCTGAAAAACCAATAAATAACGTGTACTGAATATTCACTCACAAAGTTGATGCATTTTTATCTTTTTTGGATGACTGATCCATGTTCAGAAAATAGTAATAGTGCTAACTGTGACACTTGTATTTTTGGTCAGCTCCAGGGTATAATGATGATGTGTCAACAAGATTTTCAAACCAGGTACCAATGGTAAACTCAAGTTCTCGTAATCAGTTTGACAGTGCGTCATTTGTGCAAAATGACCAGTTCATTGGTAATTCTCACGAGGCACAAACCATAAGAAATGATAACAGCTCTGTTGGGCTGGCACTTGGTCCTCCACAGTCATCCACGGCAGGGTTCCAGACTGTTAACTCTACTATGCAGCAATCTACTCTTAATCCTTTTGATGACTGGTCACAACACCGGGACAAGGGAGTTGATGACTTCTTCTCAGAGGAAGAGATTCGCATTAAAAGTCATGAGATGCTTGAGAATGAGGATATGCAACACTTGCTTCGAATCTTCAGTATGGGAGGCCATCCTTCCATGAATATGCCTGAGGATGGGTATGCGTTCTCATCGTTCATGCATTCACCAACGCCAAACTTTGATGAAGATCGTCGTTCTGGTAAAGCTGTTGTTGGATGGCTGAAAATTAAGGCAGCTATGAGGTGGGGTTTCTTCATCAGAAAGAAAGCAGCGGAGAGGCGGGCACAAATTGTTGAGTTAGATGATGCCAGTCCATAGACGCTATTAAGGTTTTTGTTGTCGAGCCCTTTACTTGCAGTGCATTAATAGTTCCACAAAATTACTATATTGTGTATTGTCAAGCATTTCTTTGCACTGCATTATTCTTCTGCAAAGCTAACATTTCTCTTCATCAGTGCTGGCCGCGGCTTTGAGGTGTTGGGGTTGCTTGAAGTTGTTGGTTTCGGAAGTATTGACGATGCACTGATGTTTGTGCCCTGTGGAAAATCTCTCTAGCTGGGAATCTCATCTTGTACAGTTGCCTGTACAGTAATCCTTTTTGTTTTTATATTTATTTGTTATTTAATCAAGTTTCATCATTTCGTCTCCTTTGGTCACTCTTCTATCGGTTTGTAATGATATTTGGTAGTGGGTCTTTAGGCCCGGATGCCCTTTCTATTTAATTGATTAGGGAGACATCTTTAATTGGCCCTGACTTCCTTTTTTTTTTTTTTTTTTTAAAGTTGATTTTTGCACAAGGATGCTAAGTATGTTGTGCTACTCATGCTAATTGTATAACTTGGAATGGAATTTTGTGTTTAGTCAAGCATGAAGACCTATATTTGTTATTTTCTTGATCTTCGACATCGGTAAGCTGGTGTCATGGTAAGTTGTTTATGTTATTATTAGACATTGTAAATTTCTCGAGAATTTTCATAGCAACGTGAAGGACTTGATGTTTCAAGGCAAAGAAACAAACATAGGTCTCGTATAATTCGTCAATTTAAGTTTTTAATTTGAACTGAGACGTGATTTTATGTGAAAGTTTTTAACTGTAATAAAAAAATTGGATGTGATTTTTTATGAGAATTTTTAATTGTAATAAAATTAAAATTAAAAATTTAATTCGGTAAAATGAATTGTGTTTTAGTATTAGAAAGGATTTATTTTCATTGAATCAATATATGATGCAGGAGATATTTTGGACTTTGGACCTTCCGAACATTGTACGTACAATATTCAGAAGAGCATGCAAATTAAGAAATCCGTCGTTTTTGTTTTTGTTTTTATTTGCGCTTTCTTGAAGTGTTAAAAAAGGGCTTTGTCAGTTTTCGATTTTGTTTTTGTTTTGTTTTTTTTCATGAAGCTTACGCATTAGTTTGAAAGTTATTTAGATAGATTTCCAATATATAGAAGATAATCGTCAGCAACCTGAAATTCAGCCGCTTAAATTGGAAAAGATGAGTTGAAGCAATTTATGAGCAAAGAGAAGATCATTTTTGTGTACTCTTCCCTAGATAACAGTGACAACAGATGGATGAGAATATTTTCAGACAAGTCCAAACCAACGAGGTAAACTTATCAAAATAGGGATAAAATCATTCTTTACCATGATGTGTAGAGAAACGTCCTCTTCAATTTTTTTTTATAATATTAAAATATATCTTAATTTTTTTTAAAATATCTTATTGGTACTTTAAAGTTACTTTTTAAGATATGTAATGCTTAAATTATTATTCTTATCAATTAAATAGAAATTAGCATTTTTTACAAAAAAATATGAAAATATTTTAAAACACTAAAATATTTAAAAGAAAATAAAAAAATAAAAAAGATCATGATTTTTTCCTAGATCTATTAGTTTTTAATTAATTAAATAAAATGACACTAAGATCATTTTACGTCTCAAAAATTAGCTTCAGAGTCTTTTTATTTTTAAAAATGTTAAGGTACCACTTTAATATTATCAAAAGAGAGGTACTAAGAACATGTTTCGTTATAACACATAATACCAAAATTATATTAAAATCACGGCCAAATCAAAATAATTCATAAAATGGATAGAATTTGACGTATAATTTGACTGTTAATAATGAGAAACTCAACACATAAAAAGAGCTTTTATTTATTTATTTTTAAGGACACATGAAAAGAGCTTGATAAAGGTTTTTAACCATCTTTGCATGTCCATACGATTAATTATGATAAATACTAGGTTCCACAAGCATAACACAAGCATAAATCATCTATAGGTTTTCTTTCCTATTTAAGCTTTCCAAAAAGTGTCGTATAATAAGTGAACAGAAAGCAAATAATTTCATAGGATAAACATGGGATGGTTCATCAAATTTTAATTAGATTATCAGACACTAATGAATGTGAACCATTTTCAGTTTCTATTAAGGTAGTTCAGTTCAGTTTAAATCCAACAACAAATTAAGAAAGAGAAAAATGAGATAATATTTGTCTATCTGACACAATCACGGGTAGAAAGTACGTGGCGTTTTTGGACACAAAAAAGGGGGGCCAATCAATCAATGCACTTGTTTTGATTTATCAAAAAAAAAAAAAAAGAAAAAAAAAGCACTTGTTTTGGGGCTCAGAAAACTTTGTTATAAAGACACTGGGATTCGGTGACCAAATTTGGGGTTTTTGGGGCATCATTTTCCATTTTCCAAATGAAGTTAAAAAAAAAAAACGAAAGAAAAAAAGAAAAAGGGAATCCCAACTCCCCCAAAGAGCTCCCCAAAAAATGTCCAAAATCCAAAAAAAAAAAAAAAAAAAAAATCTTGAAGTATCATTAAAATACCCTCTCAATACTAGATCTGTGTGTTAATTATCAATTCAGAAGGTCTTCTTGAAGCTCTCAGATCACTCTCAAATCATGGTATCTCGGACGTCGAAGTGATGATATATATAATGGGTATTAATTTAAGTCATTCGTCAATAATATTTGCGCATTAATGATCATCATGAGATCTGTAATGTTTCTATCTTTCATTTCATTGCTTTACCTTTTTTTTTTTTTTCTGTAACTTTTTTATTTCATGAGTAATTTGTTTGCCATTTGCGCTTATCACTTTGTTCTCTCTCTCTCTCTAAGTAGTACATGTGCATGGTTAACGAGAAATTCCTTTCCAAATCCAATAAATTTTCTCAGGAAATTAAATGGAACGCCTAACTTATGATTCTGAGATGTTTCGCAACCAAAACGACAACATAACGGAGATAAATGCTTATATATATATACACACACATAGTACTGTATATATCGTACATAGTTCTTTTTCACTTCAATGTTCTTCCTCCAAAACTCATAGGGAGAAGGTAAATATCCAAGAGACATGAAACGAATACAGTTTAAATCTTGCGTGTTCGTGTTTGTTTGTTCTCTTTTTTAATTTTATTACTCTCGTTAATATAGAATTAGAGCATCTAATTCTTAACAATAATCGAGTCAGGTGAAGAAAATTGTCTAAACACTGTTTGTTGTATTGTTATCGTTATTATATTTAGCAAAGAGAGAACTTTTATTAAAACCAAACAGGAAAGATTAGCTATATTTTAATATATTTCACAAACAAGAAGAAAGCGAATCGGGTACAATTTCAAGTCAAAATGTTTGGGTGGGATCGGTGTGGGTTAAAACCTATTGGATCGACGGGGACCGTCCTGCCCCGCGACGTCTCGTTCGTCTCGTTTTTTATTTTATTTTATTTTTTTTTACACTCTCTTATGGCTCTAATTTGAAAAATCCAGAACTATTAGAGGTTCTTTTTTATTTCCTTTTTTTTTTAATGTTTCAATTCATTTTGAAATTACATTTTACTTTTCAGAAAATCGTTTTGTTTTTCTTTGCTCACAATGTGTGCACACACACATATACATATACATATATATATATATATATATATGAGTGATTCTGAATAAAATATAGCTCATTTTCTTGTTGCTTTGGATTTCAGTAAGATAAAACTTGTCATATTATTTGTATTATATATATATATAATGCTAGAAATACCAACACTAATCTCATTTTTTTATATAAATTTAAGTGAGATATGAGTTGTCATTTTTTTGTTGTTAGTTATTTAAAAAATTATCACGTCAATATATAATGAGTGTCTAGAATATACCACTAAAAAGATAAGAACTCTATCCCACATCTATATATATTTATGTTATATGTTTTTGTTTTTGTCCGTTAATTAGTTGAATAATATATGTGTTGGAAAAATGGCATCGAGTGCACATAATAGAAACAACATGTCTGACAGATCAAATCCTTTCAAACAGTAATCAAAAGAGCCTCAATCAACTGGTATTCTTTACTATTATCGTTTTCATGATTGGAGTGCGAGTGGGCATACGCCGTTCAATCTCCCATTGGTATTCTTGAACTTCTTCCAACCACAAGAGAGCCAAAGGAAAAATCATTCTTGAGAATTAAACAATTTTTTCTCTCAGGAACCTTTACGACTCTCAAGTGATCTAATAAATAATGGGACTTACTGGGCTATTTATAGAGTTTAGGAAGTTATATTCCCGTAACAATTAAGTTTTTCAAAGTCTATCTCGCACACAGAGTCAGTTTTACCACATCAGCAAGTGTCAGTGCACATCCACCGGTCGACCGGTACGAATAGAGTAAAACTCCACCATTTGACTGGTCACTGTTATGGAAAACTTGTTTTCCAAGTCATTTAATACAGGAAACTTACACAAAGCTTTAGTTTTGATTCAAGTAACCCAATATAAAAGTTACCCGATCAAAAGAGTCATATAAAAGTCTTCCCATATTAAATAACACTCAAAATAATAATTTAATCAATTTATCTAGAATTAATTTATCAATCAATTCACTCAATAAATTACTCATAAATTAACAACCAATGTCACATTGAGTTTGAACCTTTTTATAGAAATAACACAAGTTAAAAACTCTAAAAACTCTAGATATCACACTGAATATCTAGTAAACCATTAGATATCACTGAATATCTAAAAACTCTAGAGTATGAGGAAGAATTTTTGAGAGGAGAAAAGAACTCTGAAATTCTAGTGTGTCTCAATTGAGGAGTGAGAGTCCCTTATATAGGGCTTAGGAGAGATCATGACTTCTTCTCTTTCCGATGTGGGACAAAACATTTTTCCACTTTTTTTAGTATCTTGAGAGTTTTTCCTTTAGTTTTTTCCAACTTCACGAGAGCACTTTGAGAGTCAAATTCTTATTCACCCGTTAACCATTTTGAGCATATAAATATATCATTTCGATATTCTCACAGCAGAGAACTTAATTCTAAATTGAACAATCACTAATACTAAGTAGGTTCTGCTTAAAATAGAGCCTCAAAATTGTACCCTGAAAAAGAGGTTTCAAGCCTTTTTTTTCAAAGTTTGAAAGATTGCGATGTCAATTTATAATAAGTGACTAGAATCTACTAGTAAAAAAGATAACAACTCTATCCCACGTCTATATATATTTATGTAATATGTTTTTGTTTTTGTCCGTTAATTAGCTGAATAATATATGATGGAGAAATTTATTGTGTTCATTGTTTTGGCTTTACATGGAATTATCTAATTTTTCTCCTAAGCAAAAAGGTAACTTTTTTGGTTGGAAATGAATTGGAATTTGCCTTTTGCCGTTTGAAATCTTTTTGTTTTTGGTCATCGTTAGATGCCATTTTTGTTCTAGCTAGTTTGCGATTTGGTTATTGCCTGAACTATATTTTATATTTGTGAGCTGCATTGTGGCTAAAATTCGAAAGGAATTATCAAGGTGTTGTACGTGAGCTGCATTAGGGTTTTACGTTCAAAATGGTTTTAGGATTTCTGTGAGGTTTTG